CACTTCGCGATGAGACGGAATGGCCCTTCAGCCCTTGACAGGAAACGGTAATGTACCCCTGGTGTTCTACTCAAGACCCCCCTTGCCCGGAAGGGAATAAGAGGGCTCATTATTGTTGAGTAGAGCTGGGCTCCCATTATTGTTGAATAGCGCGGGTCGAAATGAATTAAAGAAACCATCAAGGTCATGCCATGTTTGCCTGAGAACGTTCATTCTTTCAGAATGCATCATTGAAATAAATTGCATCCAAAGGCTTGAACATGCCCTCTCGCAACTTCGAGAGCAATGACAAGGATGGTCTGGGTTGCAACTTCCGTAAAACCGAAAAGTTTCGGCCACTGCAAGTCCCACCAGACGGCGGGCGCCATATTAATCTGTCTTCTGGACAAATAAATAGCTGCGGAAACACGAAAATAGAGATTCTACCTTCACTCTTCCAGCTCAACCACCAGATTCCAGCCCCACTTTGCAGTGCTTTAAGGGCCAACCTATTTTTTCATCGGTCTAAAAATTGTACACGTGAAATATGCGCTCAGACTGCCTTCTAAATACGAGATCCGATGTCAAGATCTGATCTGATGTCAGCGTCCAAGGATACTTTTTCAGAAGCATCGTCATTTTTGCTCAACCGTTAGCCACAAATTAATGTTAGCTGCTAGGCCGACGCTGTGCGGTCTACGGAGACTGCAACGCCTGGGGTCGAGGCTTGTATTTTTAAGATTTTCCACCGCGCATGCTCAAAATTACGTCAAACAACTTGTACTGCTGGTTGATTTAAGTATTTAAAGGTAATTATTTCAGAAGCGTCATCATTTTCGTCCACCGGTGAGGCACGGCTAAATATTAACCACTGGGCTAACGCTCCGCGGACTATGGAGACTGCAACGCCTGGTGTTGCGGTTTTTGTTGCCAAGATTTGGGAGCGCGCATGTTAAAGACACGTTACATAAATTGTATCACTTATCCATTCTGACTAAATGGTGCACATTTTCAGACAAACATGGCTTGCCCATGTTAATACGCGTTGTTGACCACTCGATCTGCAATCAAATTTTCATCTTCAAATTTGGATCAAACACATCGATCTACAATCTACTTTCGCGATGTCCTCAATGTCTGTAGAAACCAGATACAAAATTGGCAAAGCTTCTAAATTCTGTCGGTTTAAAAAGAGTCAACTAACCATTGTAAATTAAGAGCGCCGGTGATTTCTTCCATGCAGTCGTCCAACGCCTGACTTCTGCAGTTTATTGACCTCAAAATGCAAACAGAATTGAGTTCACGGTAGCGCTTGACCTCTGTTCTAGTTACAAGGTGAAAATAACGATAAAACGAAGAAAACCGTGCCACTTGTCAAGAAGTAAACTATACCCGGGGATTCTGGCGGGGGGGATCACAATAAGATGGGATTTTGCCAACCTTGTGTTCCTCCTTGGCAAGGCCCTGGCTTCGCCCCTGCTTACACACAAAAGCAAATAAAGTCGTATACGTTGCATGATGGGCAATGAAGTGTCTTTTGGGCCAATTCATACTTAAGGCAGACAGCTTCCCGGACGCTGTTTATCTGCGATGATGTGGTGTGAGGGAAGGTAATTCGGAAAAAGATACTGTTGCAGGTGTCCAACACGTGTTTCATACACCATGTAGTAGTAACGCTGGTTCAAAGGCATGCAACAAAGCAGCCGTACGATCAGTTTGCAGTCAGTCACGCGGGAGACATCCGGGCCAGGGCAGTGGCCACCGACGGTGGACAGGAGCAGGGCCCAGATGAGGAGCATATGACAGACGGGCCTTATTATGTGGCTTGATTCTTAAAACAAAATCTCCAGTTTTACGGCATTTGTCACATTGTATCTAGCAGTTTCAACTCCCGAATTTGTTTCCGCCCAAAATGCTGCGACAAGTGTTATGTCTTGAAAAGTAGCCAGCGTAATGAAGGCGCATGAAAAATCTGTCGCACTGTGAGCCATCGATCTACTTTAAAAATTCTCACCAGCCTATATCCAGGCCGTATTTTGGCATCTACGCTCTGGAGGCAAATTTTTTAAAATAAATTTATCCTGATTGGTTTGTATGGGTGATTTCGGATTCAGGGTACCTGCTAAGCATAGCTTGTTGCGTGTACCCCGAACCCACCACCCAAGCGTGCCGTCCAGTTCAACAGCTAATTTTGCCTCCGCCCTTTCGCCGGACAGGAATGCGGAGGGTTTTACGTGCCGCACAATGCTGCGACACGGCCGCCTCGGGTCTGGGTTGAGCCTCATTGGCCAGTTGCCAGCTGGCCTTTCTGTTTCAGTCGGGTCAAACAATGCGCCCACTCACGGACTCGTACCCAGTGCCGCTGGATTACGAGTCCAGCATCTTTCCCCAAGACCACGGAGGCGGCTTGCTCAAATGCTTTCTTAATGACCAAAAATACCTATCCGCTCGTGGAATTTCGTCTACCCAGGAAAGCCATTGTTGAAATGGACGAATAGCCTAGGGAAGATGAATAGTCTTATTTGCCAAATGACAGATGAGTCGAATAGGCAAGATTGTGCACGAGTGATAAACAGCTCTAGATGCATATCTGGCATAGCAGCCATGACATTTAAATAAAGAGCGATAACAACCTCCATCCCTACCCCCACCCCCACCCCTGGTCATCGGGCTCGCTTTCCAGAAAAAGTTCCTGCAGTACACCCTGAGCTTGGCCTCCCCCCCCCCCCTTTTGAAACGTTGCTACGCCAAGGTCGCGTGAGATTGGACGATTCCCCAGGAATTGTTTTTGCTGACAGTCATGGCCTGGGTTTGAACTGCCGTAGGTCAGCGACATGACCATGTACATCTAGTTTCCTACACCTAAAGATCTGTTGTCCATTTGCCTACAGCTATGCAAAGTTTGGCGCGACGGAGCCGCGCCAAAACTTGATCGCTAATGCAGCCGGATATCTACCTTCCCAGATAAGCTCATGCTTGTCGTACATAGGTGTGCGCCGGGGCACAGTTTCGCGAAATGAGTTCGAGGGCTAAACAGCGAAAAATGACCCAAGATGCCCCCAAAATAGGCCAATAAACAGGTTCCTCTCCTGATTTTGCACATTTCTATCCCAAAGTTGGGGGTGGGGGGCGAAGCCCCCCCCCCCTCCAACTGAATGAGAAACCAAATCCCTGGCTGTGCACCTTCACCCGTATATACCAACGCTAAGAACGGCCTCGCCGCGCAGGAAGGAAATCATTCTGGAAATCCTTCGGAGCTGGTCAAATTGGCCTCCAATCCCAGCGCGTGCTAATATTGAGCATGAATGTGTCGATCCTATCAAGATCGCATCCATTTCCCAAACCACAGTTAGAGTTAAATATCCTCGTTCGCTGTTTTTAAAGCGCATTTTAGGCACTTAATAATTTGCTTTTAGCTTGAATTCCATAAAAGTGTCGGTAAGTGCAGCGCGCTGATGTTGTGGCAAGAAGTTCACCTGAAAAACTGTTGTGGGTTGCCAAACTGATACGAAAAGTTTCGCGCGCCGCTCACATATCGCAGGGGATTTTAACTTTAATAAAGCAGTACTATTTTCAGGGGCAGGGGCGCTGTAACCTAGTCCAAAGACAAAACACACTAGATTAGTTTGTATAATTTGGTCTGAAGGCTTGCGTACCAAACCCGATCGCCGGATCCGGTAAAGTAGTCGGATGTTGACGTCCCCTTACGAACTTATGTTTCTCATGTAAAGCTCTTCGTCTACCATTAACAGAACCCTCCCTGCCCTCGTAATAATAAGTCGTGGCTGCTCGCACTACCAGATGAAAATGGTGATTGTTGAGCGGATAAACCATGCATTTAACTTTACACGCCTACGGCCATAAGACGTGCAAAGGCTTGTAACACTACGGTGAAAAGCTCTAGAGAACGAGGATAACTCAAGTCCTTCATGGCTAAGCCTATCCACTTCCTCCACAACCAAAATACGTACCGCTTCCCATGGTCGCCATAAAAGCGCGCCTTCGGTGCCCTAACGGGCCTCTGAAGGAGCGCCTTTGCTTGCCGATCAGAGGCGGCTGTGCCCATGCTCTCTGGATCTACCGCTACATGACTACTGTAGGGCTTAAATTAAATATTTGTTTATGTGAGCCATGTGAAAAATTACAAACATATGATTCTCTCCCTTAAAACGAGGTGTGCTAAGTCCGGTGAGAAAAAATACGGGGAGGGGGTAGGTTCTCCAGACTCCGGCTTGGTCCTCTCCCCTTACAAAAGTTGATACCCTTAGGCCATAATGAGCCATGCCAGAATGGCCCTTCACATGTCCTCCAAGTTGGGATGGGGTGGGGGTGGGGGGGTGGGGGGGGGGGGGCGCCATCCCCAGCTTTCAAGTTAGGGGTCGTGCGGCCCCCGCTGCCTCTCCTCCTCTCCCCCCCCCCTCGGTTTCCTCGTTCTTGCAGTGAATCAAGCACTGAATGCTTGTATTTATGACGTACATTTTGCCCTGGTGTCCTTGCTGCTCCAGACATGTTCGCCGAAAACAATTGATGCATAGCAGTCTGATATAGGCCCCTGATGGCAAAGCAGAATGCATGTTATGCCTCCAGCTGGACTGAGAAATTATTGCAGCGCATGCCATAAATTTGGAGGCCGGTTGAGCATTTGGGCCATGGTCATCGCGCATGCTTGTGCATAGAGAACTAATGTCCCAACAAATTATAATACATAAGAAGCAATTTCCCGAGATCTCAGGGGGTCACATTGACTCCCCCCCCCCCCACATCCGAGAGAAGGATATCTAGCCGGCCACCCGGGCGCGTATTAATCTATGATGCACCATTTATGCATGCCGCATGCCCTCATGTTTTGCACCAACTATCTCTGAATCGGCAGCAATCTGGCAGCATTGCTGATGAATCCCAGTCAGCTAAAAACTCCCAGGCTTACCTTGAGATATTTTGTCAGTAAAAGTCCTTCCCGACTTGGAAACAAATATATGCAGCCCTGGCATAACCTTGGCTTGGAGGCCAGTCCGCGCCTTGTGGGCAGTGGGTGAGATTCTGGTGGGCGAGATTTGCGTTGTGGTTATTGTATTTCACTCTGAGCTGGGCTTTAACTGTAACTATATCACTGAACTATATATTGAACGACACCGAAAGAGAATTATAAGTGGTTTTGTGATACGTCAATGTTTCTCGGCACAAACGAGCCCAGTGTGATGTATTTTTCATTGACAATTTTACAGCTGCAATATATGACAAACTGATTTCTGTTTTTTTGTGTCTCAGGTCATCGGGTGTCCACAGACCACTGCCTGGAAGCAAATATGGTGCAAAAGTATACATCACCCATACGGGTGTACAAGTATCCATTTGAGCTTGTGATGGCTGTGAGTACTCAAATATGTGGCCACAAGCGTCTGAAGTGGTTCTGCATTTGTAATGTAGTGATGTTGATAATGTGCCATTAGACAACTACTGATGTGCTTTTGTTGGCCTGACTGGTAGATTAGACCAGCTGCTAGCATGAAACAAGGCCAACATTACAGGGCAAATAGTGTTGCCACTGTGACTGCATTGAGCACACACTGGTCAAGTGTGTGTGCATTCTGCTTACACTGTAAGTGCTGTTAATGTTTAAGTGTGAACAATCATTATAAAGAAGCAATCTGAGGGTCAGTTAAGGTTGGCATCAATTGTTTCACTGAACGGACTCCAGCTGTCATTGCTGGCCCTCCCTTCTCTTCCTGTAGTGAATGGTTTCTATGACACTGGGCTGCTGTGACAGTATGGTTCTCCACCCTTACAGGCCTATGAGCTGCGCTTCCCTTCCTGTGATATGATTCCAATTCTGGCTGGTACTGAGATACTCACTGATGAGAAGAGTGATGATGGGGCTGTACATGTGGTGGAGCGCAAGTGCCGCCTGCATGTGGATGCACCATACCTGCTCAAAAAGGTGGGAAATACTGTTCAAAAATTGACTTGATGGGGCTGTACATATGGTGGAGCACAAGTGCCACCTGCATGTGGATGCACCATACCTGCTCAAAAAGGTGGGAAGGCTTGTTCAAAAACTGCAGCCTTAAGATATTGTTACTGCAAGATGTGATCAGTGCTTGTGAGGGCTGTACCATCTGTCACACATTAAGGTGGTCAGCAGAGAACTGATACCATAGTGCCAAAACTGGGTGAGTATACCCTTGTAAATACTATGTGCACCTCATTTTTTCAGTGATTCACCCTCAGGTACAGTTGCACATACTATACATGTAATATTCAAAGCCTGTTTATTTTTTCTAAGTGCTTAGTGCTTTGTGTGCTTTGCTTGTCAGACTGAGGCCTTTTACAAATTTGACTTTAATCTTTGTCAACCTAACCTTATTAACAATCTAAAAAATTATGGTCAATCAAGCAAATTTCCTGAAAAATGGTTGGGCCTGCTGGGATTGCTCCACATTTGAATGTACTGAGGTAAGCACCAGATAGGATGGAAAAGGCCTGCATCTATCCATTGGTATGCCTTGAAAGAAAGCATGTCACATTTGTATGGGTTTTGAAATGAGGTAGGTAGTTTGAAGAACATTCAGAGCAGTTCACAGCCCTGCATTTTTTGAAGATTCAAACCCTTGGGCTTCTGAGCCAGACTTCTTCAAGGTCACCCAGGCCTGCCTGTAGAAATCTAATGTGAATCCCCCATCTTTGGCCACAAAGTGTTCAAGGTCAAGAAAATATTATCTTCAATCTATTCATGTCCCCCATAGACATACAGCATTCAAGTGATCTGTGGCTGGTGTATGCCAACATAATTGCTGGCATCAACAGACTTCATTTGGCTGTCAACCAATGTGTTGCTCTCAGTGCAATATTCAAACAGGAAGTTGGGTGGTGGTGTCTGTTATGAAAATTATACTAGGGATTAGATAACTTAGGAAAAGTGTCATAATCAAGTATGAATGTGAGTAAGCAACTTAAAATCATGGACAAATATGCAACAACACCACAAGAAAGGGCCAAAAGATGTGTACATGAGGATAGTTTTGTCCTACAAACAGCACATTGATTAACATGACACCTCTTAAGTTAAGATTGCTCCAAGTGAATAAGCCTGTTGGCTATGGTGGCAGTTTCACACGGCCAGTTTGGCAATCATGTTTTTGTCATACAATCATTCCTCGATGCAGTGACACCATGGTGCATTGAGGAGCATTTTTTCTCAGTCGTTAAGTTTAGTTGTTTAGAGCACACAATATGGTGTAAAAGACTCCTAGATGACACAATTTCTCTTTTTAGTGAATATGTTCCTCAATGTATTATCATTTGATTACGTCATTGTACCTTGCACACATTGACTTAGAGCCAATTGAAGGTCGTTACATCAGGAAATTGTGCTCACAAATGCGAGATATGAATGACTGGACAATTATATTTGTATTGGCATTGATCATCATATGGCTAATGGAATGGCAGGATTTGAATGATATTATTGCATCACTGATACCTAGGTGATGTTACAGTAGTCTCCTCGAAAGTGTCAGCACATATTCGCGGGCGTGTAGCTTAGAAGCTAGAGGGGTCTAGGTCTTAAGACGGGCTTGGCTGTAGATGGCACCAAGTGATCCTCAAGATGACATCTCCTTTCCAAAACCCGATACAAATGTGGAACATTCCCTTTAAAAGCACGCCATTAGCTCCTAAATGAATAGCTACTAAATAGTGTGCTTAGTCTATCATGCCTGATGTCTGCCGTAATATCTTCAGATGAGAAATATTCCCTTTAATGGGAATTTGGTAAATGTGCCCCTTATTACGTCATTGTTTGATAGCGTCATGGAACGTTACGCCAATTCTGGCGCAACGAGGTTCATATTCTGCACCATAGAGGCCCATTTTGACCCATAGTGGGCTCTTTCTAACCAATAGGGGATCCAGCATTGACTGGAGGGCCCATCTGACCCAAATTTGACTGTGGAGGGTGGCGCGAAGTAAGCAGCACAAGTTCGCGTGTGTCAAGCTGAGACAAAAGAGGGTTTTAACTCTTTAAAAAATGTATGGGTGTGAACTGCAGGGAATCATGTTGGAAATGGCTGGCTTAGTTCAGGAGCCCATGCAAATGTTGACCAGTTCGTTTAAGTCGCACTGCCACGGCTGTCGTCATCATGCTCTAAGAGGCTGTGTACACTGCTCGTCGGTGCTAATATGTCATCGGTGTGCACCTGAGGTGAGCACTAGAAATGGGAGTCACGTGTGGGCGGCCGTCCGCCCTCGTTCGTGCAGGAATGACCTGTAATGCTGTATCGTAGCTGTGATGTGATTTGACCCGACTTTGACCGGGGAACGCGGGTAGCTACTTGGTGAAGAGGGGTAATCCCTTGCCTGGACCTTTCATTTGGCTGCCGATCATTTGTTTGCGTAGGTCTGGGTGTTACGCCGAACTCGTGGGCTCCTTGTATGGGTTCCGTGAACGTCACAGACTTCTTCTGTTATCACAGGCGGTTCGTTTTGTTTTATTGCGCTCCCCATTTTCAAGTCGTGCGATTTGTCGCGTTCGGCGTCCTTGGTGCATAGCCACATACACATACAGCTTGTTGTGCGAGGAGAAGCTCTGAGCAGGCGTAACGGACGTCGTGCGTCGGCTGACTGAGCCAGATCCACTCGATGGCGTGCAGCAGGAGAGAGATAATCTATTCCTGGAGATCTCAAAACGCAAACGTGCAAAGTCTCTCCAGGTTAGAACGCCAGTCCACTGCACTATATACCGTGGATGGAGGGTGACCGTGTGCCAAATTTGATGTTAGAGCGTGGCTAAAGCTTCAACAGTATCGCCTGCCTTGTGTCCTGTCCCCCTCCCCGTCCGTATTGTCCGTACCGTATTGTCGCTAGCCGGACACACTGTTCCCGAGCAGCCGGCGCCGACGCGTGGCTCACGGCTCGGACGAGGCCTGCACGCAGTCTGACCACAGCGCAGCGCAGTCTGACCGCAGCGGAAGGCGCGTGCGATACGACGGCATTCGGACCTGCCACTGCCGGTGGAAGCCGGCGGGCGGCCGTCGGCTCGTGCGGCGGGGAGCGGATTATGGGGAGCAGGGGATGGTCCCATGGCTGGAGAGGCAGCTGCCGCTGCCGCCGGTGCGAACCTGACCGCTCTAAGCACCGTCCCGCCCGCCGCTGTCCGCCTGTCCCGCACACCATCACGCCAGTCTTTCCCGCGACGCAGGATTGTTTGGGTGCCGAGAGGTAGTGGGGATGGGCAAGTGATTCATCTGTAGTTCAAAGCGGCCCACAGCTGCGGTGCAGCAGGCAGCCAGGTGTCGAGCGTCGTACACAGGTGTGAAGGTCACCTGGGGTCGTGAGTCACTAACGCGTGTGTATACTGATAGGCACGCTGCGCAGGATTACCACTGACGGCACCGGTGACCCGGACCTTGCCCATTGTCAGTGGGGCGTAGAGTACGCGGAACTTTCACCGGACGGGACCGAACCGCCCGGTCCTGTGGCGCTCTCACCCGCGCTTTTTGTTCACAGATCATGGGCGTCGACTTCATCTACTTCCGGCAGAAGAACTCGCTCGACATGCGGGCGCGCACGCTCCACATCGAGGCCTGGAACGAGAGCTTCGCTTCTCGGGTTGTTATCAACGAGAACTGCCGCTACACGGTAACCACACGGCCCACGTGGCACGCATGCTGACCGGCCCCTGCACCACCCCGCCGAGGCGTTCTTTCGCTTTGCAGTGACCGCCTGGCTGGCATTGTGGTCGGTTTGCAGGCTCGGGTATCTCGACGTCCGGCACCTCCGATATATATTCTCTTACTGTGTATGGAGGCCTATGGTGGCTGGCACGTAAACGCCAAGAGAGGCTGGCACGCACCTAATTCAAGCATCTCGGTTATATATGGTCTGGTGTCGATCAAAGGCGAGGAGGGCGCACGCTGCCTACGATGGAGCAGGGTTACGGGGGCGGGTGTGTCGGGTGTTCGTGCGCGCGTGTTGTGTCTGATGAGACACATGCTGTAATTGATCGATTGAGGAAAGGCTATATGGATGGATCGTTGCGGTGAATCGATCTGTTGGTCGCGTGATCACGCTGGGCGCGCAAATGAAACAGGCGGCTTAAGCTGAGGAACACATCAGTTATGACGGCACGTGTTTGGCGCGCCTCTTCACGCTGCTGATGTGAGCTGGAGACGCTCTGAACTGCCGGTGCTTCCCGTAGGCTAGAATATGTTTCATGTTTGCTCCTAATTATGGCACCCAACGGTATCGCAAAGCTGTCACGATTTCCGATTTCACACACACGCACACATTATGTATAGAGAGAGAGAGAGAGAGAGAGAGAGAGAGGGAGGGAGGGAGGGAGATATATATACATATATATATATATATATATATATATATATATATATATATATATATATATGCATATATATATATATATATATATGCATATATATATATATATATATATATATATATATGCATATATATATATATATATATATATGCATATATATATATATATATATATATATATATATATATATATATATATATATATTGGAATATTTATGATCATGGCCACTGATAGTGTTCGTCCATTTTCGGTTGATGGACGTGTATTCGTGTTCACGTAACGCCAATATTTTTTATTGTCCGTTGCTCATCTGTACTGATTGTAAGCCAATTTGTGCGGATTCAAAAGCGTTTCTTTATTTTTGGTGCGCCTGGCATATTCTGTCCTCTTGGGATCTCAGTCCACACAGGGGCGCAAACCACGCACCGACCTTCGTACCCGGCGGCAGGTCCAGACTACCCCCCCCCCCCCCCCCCCCGGCCTCCTCTGCACCCTGCAATCGGCGGGAGTTCGAGGTCACGTGTTCTGTGTATATATTCGGTCCTGGTTGAGCATCCGCCTCGGTACCGTTCTTTGCTCAAGGTCTCGAGAAGACTGGTCGCCAGCAGGGCGTACGGGCATGCGACGTTGGCTGAGTACATGTGAGTTCGTTGCGCGAGCTGCAGCATCCAGGTGATGTACCGGCGACGTGAAGTAGTTATGCCCTGGGCTGAACACGCGACTGCTTTTGAGACAGCAGCGGCATGCCTTGAGCTAATAAAGTCGTGGCCTTATATTTGTTTAAGACAAATCTACGCCCACGTGGGCGAGAGGGATTCTGGTACCACAGTGGTTAAGCTGGTGTCAGGAAAAGCAAAGGTGCGGGGTTCGACTCCCTGCGGTGTCCGCCCTTCCTGGAAGCATGAGGTGCGGGGTACGCTGTATAGGTTCAGCTGCAGGTTGTGCCATGCCCCAGTGGCAGCGCATATGCATACGAAGCCCCAGCGCGCCATAAGCGCCGCAGTGGCGGCGTCAGCGCCGCTGCGACCTGTGCTCGCGCCGAGCAGCCCGGCAGTCGCTGCGCGTTGGTCGCCGGCCCGATGTGTCGGATAAGGTACGGCTTCTGGGCGCCGGGGAGGAGAGCGTAGCTGCGGTGACGGGTGCCAGTCGGAGCCGCCGCTGTCCCTGACCGATCCGCAGCCGCCCCCTCGGCGCCCTCCCCAGCCAGCACCAGATCCCGGCGGCTGCTGACTTACAGGGCGATCTTGTCAGCAAGGTCAGCGACATGTGCCCGGCGCAACCCGTTGAATGTGTCGTACAGATGCACGTTACACTGCAAGTCGTGAGCATTAGCAGGCGGAAGCGGGCATAGAATAATGAAAACGTAATTGCAATCGGCCAAGGCACGGTATTAGCTGCACCACCAGAGGCATCCAGGGGGTGCGAATAGAATATAGGATAACCACTTTCTTGGGTTGTGAAGTCTGCATGGGCTTTGCTGGAGGCCTCAAAACCCTCTTGATCGTTGATGAGTTCCCTGGGATCGAAGTTCAGCACTATTGGGCAGTGCAAGCTGTCCAGGAGAGCGCCTGTATTGGGCACAACAGCTGCCGGGTTAACAAATCAGGTCATCAAGACATCGTAGTGGGTCTTTCCGGCCTTAAAAACGACTCAAACCTCAAACTAAAACGTTGCGAACCACAAGGAGTGCCCTTCAGGCCGTTTTGCTCCCCCATTGTGACGGAGATCCGGGGTATCCCATTGGGCGCCATGCGGTTGCCTTCCGATTCCAAAAATAACTCGGGTCAGACCCTCGGATCTAGAGATCCTCCCTTGCTCCAAGGAGAGGGGGAGGTGAGGGGGGAAGAGTATAGTGTCATTGCATCATAAGGTGCACTACTTTGTTACTCTTGATCCTCTCCAATCTGCTCCATACGAAATTTGGGGACTTGCTAAAATCCAGAGAAAAAAGAGTTAAGTTTATGTTGTTTTGGGTCATGCACCATTTTTACGGGTAACTTATAGTTTATGTTACCTTTATCTGTAAGCTATAGTGACTGCACGAGCTCCCCCCCCCCCCCCGTAATGATTTCAAACATATCACTAAGCCTGCGATGATGCTCGGTTGTGATGGTCGGAAAACTACGGACTTGCTTTCAACACGTCAACGGATGGACGGGCGTCTATTTACCTGACAGGCCGGAAGGTTGTTTGCCTGACGTCGCTACCCGGGTCGGGCGTGGGTGGAGAAAAACACTTCAGCATCTCACCATCGACCCCTGTCCTGATCCAGAAGTGGGGTTGTTTTGTTTGAGGATGGAGTTTTGGAACAAAAAGCCCGTGCGGCCAAAGAACCGCGTATGCGCCTTGCCAAACGGCTCAGTATGCAGTGCCCATATTAGCACGCGCCCGGGGGGCCGGTTGAATACCCTTCACATGGGTGGGTGGGGTTCAGTTTTACCCCCTCCTTAAATGTCAGAAACTAGAGAGCTAAAGATTCCAAACTCACGGGGTGAGCTAGGCCTGTACGTGAACTCTTTTGTGTCAAAATTTGGGGTTCCCAAGGTATGACCTTCTTATAAGGTTAAACAGGGTCAAGTTTCAGATTGGTGTCCCGAGTGCCTCCAGACCATCTGATGCAACCACCGTGAACCTAGGTAACTGTTCTAAGCGAAAGGTCACTGGTGCCCATTCAAGTTCAGTGACCTTGTTTGACCTTTCAAGTATCATGACCACCAAAAGCATACAAGGCTGCTTTGATTTTTGCATTTCAGTAAGCGTCAAAGACGATACCAAACAGTATATTCCTAAAAACAAAATGTTGACCTGGGTAATTTAGGTCAGTGACCTAGGCTGAACTGTAAGAAGCTCATGGAACATTTGTAATGCGGTTCCCGTTATGAATTAATGCAGAATGAGTGCCAGAATGAACCGTACAAAGCAACCTCTAGAGTAATAAAACAGGTGGATTTGACGTTACTCTGACATTCATACCTGACCCTAATTCAATGGAATTTGTTCACTCAGTTGTGCTGCCTAAGAAACTGCCTTAACATAAGGCTTCATCTAACTCTCCGTTGTTGCATCAGATTGAACGATTCCCCAGACCTTTTCGTCGCTGAGTCCATGGCCGAACTGACCTGCCGTAGGTCAGCGACCTTACAAGCTACATCTAAATTTGTAATATCAAACGATCCGCTATTCAGTTGTCCACAGCTGTGCATACTTCGGCGCGGCGTAGCGGCGTCATGAAAAAATTATTTTGGAAAAGCCTTAACCCCCACCCGAGTGCGTGGTAAAGAAAGACTCAGCATATTTTCTGTGCATTATCGCCAAAGCCATTCGTTGACTATGACCACAGACGTGTGGCATTTAAGTTAACGTGTGTTTCGTGCTTTAGTTCAGCCGATCCGGTGTTTATTTTCTGGCGCAGTGACCAGAACAAATAACTTAGTTATGATCAGAAAGCCCGGGCTTCCCACCTACAGATTGTTGGCCACACGTGTTTGTTTTTTCAAGAACTACCAGTACAGTATCCGGCCTTTCCGTTTGAAGAAGCACCCGATGGTCTTGACTTTAAGGGGCCTCCCTCGCAACTGCGCGACACCGGACGTGTTTACCCCTAGAGCAAGGCGTGCTCAGTTGCCGTCTCGAGGGCCTTTTTCGTTTTTCAGTCGTTTGGTTGTTTTCAGGTCCCTGGCTGATTTTACGTATACTAAATGGAATGAAAAGAGACTGGCGACGGTATTTCGCTCCTGAAAAAATGGCGTGACCAAACTTCGGTAAAGCGCTATATGGCCGACAGGCCATAGACCCCCGCCCATTCCAAAGGAGCAGCAAGCTTTCTGCGGCAAAGTTTGAGCTCACTGGTTCCCTGAATTACGACAACCGGACGACGACAGCCACACGACTGTTGAGAGCATGAGCTACCTGCGGACCGTTGTGCCAGTATATTTCAAATACTTCGATTGAGCTCTGACCAAAACTTCACTGATTGCGTCCCATAGCAGAAAACTGCGATGGCTGCAACAATGCATGCCGACAACTACACTGTTCTTGTTTTGTAACTCTTTGTTGTTGCTATGTTGCTATGCTGTTTTGCCTCCCTCTTTGTGTGTGCTCGTGACTGAGCGGCGTACTTCTCTCATGGCCCGGGCTTGAATGCCTGGCTGCCGGCCATTGCTCGTCATTTGGCTCGAGGACCGCGGCCGCCGGTGAGCGCTGAGCGGCCCGGCCCGGCCTGCCCGCGGCGTCTCGTGTGGCCCGGTTCTCGATCGACCCCCGGACAGCGCGGCTTGAACTGCGCCGGCTGGCGTGCGGCGCCTGTTTTTGCCGCTGGGCACGCGATCCCATCCATGTGAGCGCCCGGCGGCGGCCGGTCATAATCTGCTGGCCCCATGGCGGAGACTGCTGCCTCATGCAAACAGCCAGTTATAGTCCGGTGGTCCCGCGGCGGAGGCCGCTGCCTCCTGCAAACACCCGGTTATAGTCTGGTAGTCCCGCGGCGGAGGCTGCTGTCGCCTGCAACCAGCCGGTTATAGTCTGGTAGTCCCGCGGCGGAGGCTGCTGCCTCCTGCAACCAGCCGGTTATAGTCTGGTAGTCCCGCGGCGGAGGCTGCTGCCTCCTGCAAACAGCCGGTTATAGTCTGGTAGTCCCGCGGCGGAGGCTGCTGCCTCCTGCAACCAGCCGGTTATAGTCTGGCAGTCCCGCGGCGGAGGCTGCTGTCGCCTGCCACCAGCCAGTTATAGTCTGGTAGTCCCGCGGCGGAGGCTGCTGTCGCCTGCAACCAGCCGGTTATAGTCTGGTAGTCCCGCGGCGGAGGCTGCTGCCTCCTGCAACCAGCCGGTTATAGTCTGGTAGTCCCGCGGCGGAGGCTGCTGTCGCCTGCCACCAGCCAGTTATAGTCTGGTAGTCCCGCGGCGGAGGCTGCTGTCGCCTGCAAACAGCCGGTTATAGTCTGGTAGTCCCGCGGCGGAGGCTGCTGCCTCCTGCAACCAGCCGGTTATAGTCTGGTAGTCCCGCGGCGGAGGCTGCTGTCGCCTGCCACCAGCCGGTTATAGTCTGGTAGTCCCGCGGCGGAGGCTGCTGCCTCCTGCAAACAGCCGGTTATAGTCTGGTAGTCCCGCGGCGGAGGCTGCTGCCTCCTGCAACCAGCCGGTTATAGTCTGGTAGTCCCGCGGCGGAGGCTGCTGTCGCCTGCCACCAGCCAGTTATAGTCTGGTAGTCCCGCGGCGGAGGCTGCTGCCTCCTGCAAACAGCCGGTTATAGTCTGGTAGTCCCGCGGCGGAGGCTGCTGCCTCCTGCAACCAGCCGGTTATAGTCTGGTAGTCCCGCGGCGGAGGCTGCTGTCGCCTGCCACCAGCCGGTTATAGTCTGGTAGTCCCGCGGCGGAGGCTGCTGCCTCCTGCAACCAGCCGGTTATATTCTGACGGCCCCCGGGATGGAGGCTGCTCCCACCGGGCAGACGGCCGAGGTCGTCCCTTCGCGGAACGCTGGAGAGGTGGCGCGCCCTGACGGTCGTACAGGCCAGGCCCTTGGTTGGTCCGGCACAGCGGGTGTGCGCAGCAGACCGATTCACGTTGCAAGAAGCGGGGGTCGCGCTTCTTCACAGATCAGTCCGTCAGATTTGGTGTGCCACCGCTGGCTGCCTGCCTGGTTGGTTGGCCTGTTAGATGGTTGGCTGCATGGCCGGTTTGTTGGCCGGTTGATTGGCTGACCTGTTAGATGGTTGGCGTCTGGTTGGTTCGGCGGCTGGTTGGTTGCCGTGCGCCGATGGTCACTGCGTGCTTCCTTAGCGTGATCATCGCTACTTTTTTGTGAGCTGTAATTTCGGGTGAACCAAAAACACGTGTAAAACCTAGGCCGAAATTATATGTGGCTTTTTTCGTCTGTGACAGTGTTCGAGTCGGAGTATTCTGAATGAAAAATGAGAACGCAAGAGCGCGATTTCACGGAACCGTACGGTTTCGTCAATCAGTGACTGATGACCACGCCAGTGCAGGGCCGATTTGCAACCTCCATATTTCCATCCATTGGAACAGTCCGCTTCTGTTTCCACCGGGCTGGCTGACCTTCTCCGAACGATCCGCGCGATGGGAATATTGAGGGCTGGCCGGTTAGCCGGCCTTCCTTTCCAAGTGGTGGTGGGCGTAGTGGTCAGAGCGGAATTTCGCGTGTGATCTCCGGCCTCAAGGCGTGTTGTGCAGTCAGCTGCCAAACTGTGAATCACTTCCACCCTCAGCTTAACCCGCACGGAGCTGGGGCCAAATGAATGATCGCTCACGTCTCATGGCATTTCCAGTCGTTTCAAAGAAACCGTTGATAGGCACGTCTTCCGCATATGCATGCACCTTTTTGATACACTGCTTCTGCGCAGGTCTGATTGCTTGGCGTTTCTGTGGCGTAAGGACAGTTTCAGCCGTGCTCGCTTTTATCGGTACATGTTTCTCCGACGCATGTCTATCCAGCCCCGGTCTGATCGGCGCTGATGATCCCAATGTGGCCAGGCACACCTCGAGAACCCGGACCGGACGTGTTTGTTCTCGCCGACGCATGTCTATCCAGCCCCGGTCTGATCGGCGCTGATGATCCCAATGTGGCTAGGCACACCTCGAGAACCCGGACTGGACGTGTTTGTTCTCGCCGACGCATGTCTATCCAGCCCCGGTCTGATCGGCGCTGATGATCCTGATGTGGCCAGGCACACCCTGTGAACCCGGACCGGACGTGTTTGTTCTCGCCGACGCATGTCTATCCAGCCCCGGTCTGATCGGCGCTGATGATCCCAATGTGGCCAGGCACACCCTGAGAACCCGGACAGGACGTGTTTTGTTCTCCGGCGCGACAGCATGTCTATCCAGCCCCGGTCTGATCGGCGCTGATGATCCTAATGTGGCCAGGCACACCCCGAGAACCCGGACTGGACGTGTTTGTTCTCGCCGACGCATGTCTATCCAGCCCCGGTCTGATCGGCGCTGGTAATCCTAATGTGGCCAGGCACACCCCGAGAACCCGGACTGGACGTGTTTGTTCTCGCCGACGCATGTCTATCCAGCCCCGGTCTGATCGGCGCTGGTAATCCTAATGTGGCCAGGCACACCCCGAGAACCCGGACTGGACGTGTTTCGAGCAGACGGCCAGCCTGGACGTCAAGTCGTTCTTCGGCTTCGAGAGCACCGTCGAGAAGATCGCTATGAAGCAGTACTCGGCCAACATATCCAAGGTAAGCCGCCGGGAGCCTGCTGCTGGCACGGTCCAAAGCCGCACACCGCTCCGGTGCCGACGGTGGGTGAGCGGCGCGGCGGGGTGACGTCATGGACGGCGGCGGAGGTTCGCGTCAGGGTGACGTCATGGACGGCGGAGGAGCCGCGCGGCTGGGTGGCTTCATGAACGGTGGCGGAGGGGCGCGGCTGGGTGACGTCATGGACGGCGGAGGAGCGGCGCGGCAGAGTGACATGGACGGTGGCGGAGCGGCGCGGATGGTTGAAGTCATGGACGGCGGCGGAGGGGCGGCGCGGCAGGGTGACGTCATGGACGGCAGAGATTCCCCGTGATGGGTCGCCCAAGGCCGTGCAGTGTCTGCCGCTCCAGTCATAGGCGTTCTGGAGAGTCCTGTGCTGTACATATTTTACGGCATGTAATGTTCAGGGAAATCGTAAATGTGTGTTTATGTTCTCGGGGGCGCTATCCCAATGTTTACGTAAATAAGCATTCTGATTGCCTTCAGTTATCATGGAAATGGCGGCATCGAGAAGTCGGTTCGTCCCTTAAGTCTGACGTACCTCCATAACTTGTCGAGGCATGCAAAATGTGCAAGTTATCGCAGGTCGTGAAAGGGCTGACGTCATTTACTCACGCGGCTAGCTCGGAGCATAAATGTATCATGACTGGCGGCATGCGAAGTGGGCGAAGGTAACGGGACAGCGCTCGCGCTAGTCAGACTGTGCACGCGACAGGAAGCGCTGGAACGAGGCGGCTCATGACGCGTACCAAGGACCAAAGGTCCTCAAGGGGCGTGAGAAGGGTTGTGGCTCTCTGGTGATGACCGCACGGCTGACCCTGGCGCGCGCCTGCCTTTCAGGGCAAAGAGATCATCGAGCACTTCATCCAGAAGCTGAAAGAGGATGGCGTCACGTACGTGGCGCCGTTCGAGGCTACCGGCACGTCCGTGCCGGCCGTCACCGTCACAGGAGACACGCCGGAGAGGTGAGGTGCTGATCTGACCCGAGTTCGATGTGCCCGGAGCTGCCGGTCAGGTGCTGACCTGACCCGAGTTCGATGTGCCCGGAGCTGCCGGTCAGGTGCTGACCTGACCCGAGTTCGATGTGCCCGGAGCTGCCGGTCAGGTGCTGACCTGACCCGAGTTCGCTGTGCTCGGAGCTGCCGGTCAGGTGCTGACCTGGCCGGAGTTCGCTGTGCTCGGAGCTGCCGGTCAGGTGCTGACCTGGCCGGAGTTTGATGTGCCCGGAGCTGCCGGTCAGGTGCTGACCTGGCCCGAGTTCGCTGTGCCCGGAGCTGCCGGTCAGGTGCTGACCTGACCCGAGTTCGCTGTGCTCGGAGCTGCCGGTCAGGTGCTGACCTGGCCGGAGTTCGCTGTGCTCGGAGCTGCCGGTCAGGTGCTGACCTGGCCGGAGTTTGATGTGCCCGGAGCTGCCGGTCAGGTGCCGGAGACCTCGCTGGCCGGGAGATGCTGCCGTCTGTTGACGGGGGATCGGGGCGAGCTGTGCAGAGACTGCTGCGCCGCGGGACGGGACGGGGCGGTGGCCGCTGACCTGTCCGGCGGCCCGGCACACGCTCACCCGATGGCGAGGCGGCAGCCGGCCTCAGCCGCGCGCAGGGCCAATCTAGTCTGGCGCCCGCGTGCCGATGCGTGCTGCTGGCTGTGTGAACTGCAGCCGGACTGGAGTGGCGCGTACACGGACCAGAGCGCTGATCTGAGCACCTGCACCGAGCTTCGTCCGGTCGGAGAGGGGACTGTTGAGACTAAGAGGGAGAGGACTGTTGAGAGGCCGGGCCCCGGCGCAGCGCTACCCGGCACGCCGGGACCAACGACCGGAGCCTCCGCGGACTGCTGCGGAGCCGGGCCTCGGCGCCGCGCCACCCGGCGTGCCAGGGCGTGCGGCGGCGGACCCGGCCCGGTCCGCCCATGGGCTGGCCGACCCGCTCCGTCCGGAAGTGAGCCGCTTCCGGCGCAGGCCGGCGGGATCAGCGCCGGTCGCGTGGGAGGCGCAATCGATGACACCGGGCAGACCCGGCCGACGTTAGGAGCCGCAGCAACTGCCCGTTCGATAAAGGACAGGCTGGAGAGAGGCAGGGCCTTCGAGTGGTGGCATTTCCGACCCTTCTTTCCCTTTGATAGTAGCGGCATCCTTGGGACTAGTCTGCTATGTGGACACCGCCAAAATTAATACCATTTGTGAATTTCGAACTATTGACATGCAACCGTAAGGTGTAATATTAGTGCGCGTGTACTCTAATACAACATGCAGCTGGCACATAAGTACAAGTATTCTCCACGTGCCGCATCCCACGGACCAGCTCTTTGAAGTGGGGATGATTTGACGGCGCAGGTGGTGGGCATGTGGCTGCGATCGCCTGCGGCGCTGAGCCTTGTGTGCGCCCGCGTGTGTCGGTACGCGGTGACCCGTGCCTGCCTGTGTAAGCGACGGTGTCCTGTGAGGGCGCCGGAGCCGCGCGCCGGCCGCTGACGAGGTCCGCTCGGTGCCGTTCCAGCCGCGTGTGCGCTGACCTCTCCGACCTGGACCTGTCGACCGGCGAGAACGACTCTGACCACCAGCTGACGTCGGCCACACAGCTGCACCGGCGTCGCTCGGCCGTCGACTCAGGTGTGTGCCGCCCTCTGCCGGGCTCCGGCTGGCCCCCGGCCGCGCTGCCAGCCGGGGCTCCATTCACGCACTGGATCCAGCCCTCGGCCGCCGCCGCGACCAGGCCGGGTGATGCGTGGTCTGCCGAGTGTCGCGGCCGATGCAAAGCCTGCAGAAGTCGTCTCTTGGTGTGCTGTACTTTTTCCTCCCGTATATTTCAGATGAACTGGTATTATTTAGCCAAGTTTGTTTCCTCAGACACCTCGCACAACTCTTGCTTTCTGGATGCTGTGCTGGCCACAATTTCAGGGGATAAAGGCGGGAAACCTCTGGAGGTGCACCCCCATAGTTCTGGCGTTTTGGGGGCTATCATGGTCCCTGGTGTTTTCGCAACAGTCTGCGCAGGCCCGGGCTTTGAATAGCAACTGCCCTGTGGGGTCTGGAGTGGCTGGATCGGCACCCTTCGTCTCCGCCGCCGCTCCGAGCACTGACCGCCTTCTGCCGTGGGGTCTGGAGTGGCTGGGTCGGCACCCTTCGTCTCCGCCGCCGCTCCGAGCACTGACCGCCCTCTGCTGCAGATGACCTGAGCAGCCGCTCCTCCTCGTCCTCGCTCTCCTCTGATGACCCTGACCTGCCCCGGCAGCCGACCGTCTGCTGCCGCCTGCTGTGACGGCGGCGGCTCGGCGCGCCCGCCTCCTCCCCTCCTGTATAGTCCTGGGTCAGTGGCCGCTCCGCACCCCGCCTGTCCGGAGGCGGCGGCGCCCTGTCCTCGCCCCCGCCCCGTCTCCCGTCCCCCGTCCCCCGTCCCCCGTCCCCCGTCCCCCGTCCCCCGTCCCCCGTCCCCGTCCCCGTCCCCGTCCCCGCCCCTGCTCCCGCCTCTGCCCCGTCCCCCGCCCCACCTGGGCCCGGTAAGGCGTCCAGTACGAAGGGTTGACCACGCCAGGCGCCGCTGTCGTGTTTCTCGGGGCGTTTTGTCTCGAAACGTATCACACATGCGCAAGCCACCGAAACATGTAGCTTGAGTCACAATGGGAAGGTGGGGTGCTCGCTACCTGGGCGACTGCTAGCCGTCTCTTTCGCGGTGCCATACCTTTTACCAGCACCCTCATTTGCACTGCATAGCGTTGGCGTCGTTCGCAGGTAGGTGCTTTTCTGTCGCTATTTCAAGTTAGTCGTATTAGTAAGCATGCATGGCTTCATTGCTCAGTGGTCAACCTCTGGCGCGACGTCCCCCATTAACATTAATGGGAGGGGCGGCTTTCGGGGGGGGGGGGGGGGAGGCAATGGACGCGTCCCACACCCCCACCATCTCGGTCATCTGAGTACATCTTTAAGTTTTCAACATCTACGGATAACCGATTTATTCAGCTAGCATTATGAGATGGTTGATATCGACACGCGACACGTGACTGGGTTGTTTTCGGTGCCAGTAGTCTGCCATCGAGGGAATTATGGCACTCCTGCAAGCGCCTCGACTCCTGCATCTATATTCGATCATCTCTCCAAAGTTCGCTACGTGCAATGTCCCCGGTCCGTCGCTCGCGACTGGGGAAGCCGCGTCACGTGTTCCCCCTCGGTCGACCGAGTTCACCGGCTGAGGAAGCCGTATGAGCGACGGTGTATCCAATTAGAGCTGCCCCATGCGGGGGCGAAGGGGGGAAGTACACTGCCGGAGCCGGGCGGGCCACCCTCGTCAATAACGGATATGCCACTGACTGAGGACGAGCGCGCTCCGTCCGCTCATATGTACCCTGCCCGTGACGAGCCCTGCGTACCCGCTCTAGGGGGGGGGGGGGGGTCATTTCTGCGAAGGGGCGCGACAGGCCACACGCTTAAGACGCGCTGAGGTGGTGTCGCGGGGCATACTTCCTTCCGGTATCCAGCAGAATTCCCCGTGGGGAGGTGGAAAACAAACCACCGGCGCTCCCGCCACACTCGGTGAGTATATTAAATTATGGTGTGATGACGTGTTTCCGAGTGAGGAGAACCGGGTCATCGCGTCGGGGGAACCGTTCCCAGTGCGCTTCCCGTCAACTGCATCATATCGATGTTGTCGCTTGGCTTGTTCGGGTACTATGCGCCCTGTCGACTGTCTCTCTCTCTCTCTCTCTCTCTCTCTCTCTCTCTCTCTCTCTCTCTCTCTCTCTCTCTCTCTCTTCTCTCTCTCTCTCTCTCTCTCTCTCTCTCTCTCTCTCTCTTCTCTCTCTCTCTCTCTATCTCTCTCTCTCTCTCTCTCTCTCTCTCTCTCTCTCTCTCTCTCTCTCCGCTCTCCGCTCTCCGCTCTCCGCTCTCCGCTCTCCGCTCTCCGCTCTCCGCTCTCCGCTCTCCGCTCTCCGCTCTCCGCTCTCCGCTCTCCGCTCTCCGCTCTCCGCTCTCCGCTCTCCGCTCTCCGCTCTCCGCTCTCCGCTCTCCGCTCTCCGCTCTCCGCTCTCCGCTCTCCGCTCTCCGCTCTCCGCTCTCCGCTCTCCGCTCTCCGCTCTCGCTCTCCGCTCTCCGCTCTCCGCTCTCCGCTCTCCGCTCTCCGCTCTCCGCTCTCCGCTCTCGCTCTCCGCTCTCCGCTCTCCGCTCTCCGCTCTCCGCTCTCCGCCCTTCTCTCTTCTCTCTTCTCTCTTCTCTCTTCTCTCTTCGCTCTCGCCCTCGCTCTCGCTTTCGTACACTGTCTTCTTTGCCGGGCACGTCTGTCTCTCCGCGCAGTGGCGGTGCCAGCCGACGCCTCGCTCCGGCGCGCGAGTCAGGCCACTGTGGTGTCCGCCGACGGTGGTGAGTGGGCGTGCGTGTGCGCGTGTGTGCCTGACCGGCCGACTCCGGCCCGCGCCCATACCACCCCGCCCGGACCGGGGCCGCGGCCTTCTCCCCGCACGTGTCACCCGCCGGGGCTTCTACCGTCCACCAACCGTGTCAGCGACACTGACGCTCGACCTGGACTGGGCAGGCAGGCCCCAGGCTGTTACTGCATCAGTACTTGTTACGAACATAGGCTAGAATGGAGCGATTGAAAGACGTTGAGCGTCAATGTATGGGATGCAATATATTATAATTTTGGAGATCATTCAGGGTGAGCATGGTGCGATAGTAGATTTTGACAAATGAACATGTGCATGGATCCCACAAATGGATCCGCAGAGCCTGTGCAACGTCCTAGCAGACGGACAAACTGGACAGACGGCTGCGTACCCGGCCGGATCCGGACTGACCGGGCAGGGACGCTCCCGCCCCTGACCTGGCATGCCGTCCTTGTCTCGGGACATGGCCTTGTGGCTGGAGCCGGCCGCCGCTCTCGGCTGGGGCTGGTGTGTCGCGCGCGGTGCTGGTCCGCGCCGGATCGGAACGGCCGGTGCTGCTGCGCGCTGGAAGGCTTTCGCCGGCCCCCCTAACAAGTCTGATGTTTTGCTAATCGCGTTAGAGTACGCCGTACGAGATTGACTTGGCTTTCTTTTTCAGCATGATGGGCTGACTTGATGTGTCTTGGCGTGTTATCACTCCTTTATTGGCTTGCTGTGATTATGAATCCTGCATTGTCGCATGCCATTACCCGAACCAGGTTAAAGTTTTGTTTGGGGCCTGGGCATCATCTATTTCGTTTAGAGTCGATGTGACCCCCTAAAGGCTTCTGGGGATTGCTCTGCGGTATGCCATGCCATCGCGTCCAAGGCTTTGGTAGCCTCTGGAACATCCATTCCACCTGTTTGAACTTCAAAAACGTGTCCTTAGCTTTTCTCGTTGTCGAGAAGCGACGGCTTTCCAAGAACGCTGTCGGTGATCCACGGCCGGCGCGGGCGGTACGGACGAATCTGACGGTCGTGCGCGGGCGGTGGTGGACGAATGTGACGGTCGTGCACGGGCGGTACAGACGAATTTGACGGTCGTGCGCGGGCGGTACGGACGAATTTGACGGTCGTGCGCGGGCGGTACGGACGAATCTGACGGTCGTGCGCGATGGACGGACGCTTGTGCTTTGACGGAGCCTGACGTCATTAAAACATGCTTACAACACAGCAAACTACATACCATTGTACTCAAAATTAAACAAAGAACACGGTTGTTTCAGTTTTATGTCTACCGGGTACGTTTTCGTGCACATTTAAAGCTGAAATAGGTCGCTTTTCAATAAAATTTAAGCTTTGACCTGGCGAAGTGGGATCAACTGTTGACCTAGCAATATAAAACTTGTCACTAATCGTGAGAGCTCGTGGTTTCCAATCAGTCCGCGTTATGAAAAACGGCGGCTAAAGGCGCGAGTTCACCCATGTCAACCGATGGAGCTTGATAGGCCGCATCAGGTTTTAAATAGCTTTGAGCACTAAAACTATGACGCGGAATTTTTGGTTCAGAAGGATAAAATGTATTCACACCTGTGCAAACTAAGCACCCTTGTTATGGTAACTCATGAGACCCCTTTTTGCGGGGTGATGTCTTTCCTTGCTTATTTACAATTTATATCAGTCTTCATTGGTCACATGCCAATAGCTGTAGCTCTGTATATATGTATAAAGATACATTCACATCTATATATATATTACCAATGAAATCTGCCGGGGTGGCCTAACAAACGCCGGCTAATTTGGTGCCTCTGAGGCCGACGTTTCGAGGCGATAGCCCTCGCGATGTTTTCACCAGCCGATGTGGGTCCGTGTTAGGCTGCCTACCGTCGGCGGCGCATCTCTAGCTAGAATATAACGCGATGGAGTGGTCGTTGCTGTGGCGCTGTAACAGCCTGCTGCACCTGCCCCATTCGTCGCCAGACCGTGTCGTGTGCGTTGACGGGCGTGCCGGGGTCTGGCTGGGTCCGGCCCGGTCGGGTGGATGCGTCAGGGCAGCGCTGGGCGGGCCCGCGGCGGCAGCGCACCGCCCGGCCTCGGCCGTCGGTCGTTGGGTGACGCGGAGCCGCCGCCGCTGACGCCGATCCCTGCCGCCGCCAGACGGCAGGAGCCAGCTGGAGGCCGACTACATCCAGCGCTGCCTGGGCAACCTGACGCCGCTGCAGGAGAGCCAGCTGATCCAGCTGCGCACCTGGGTCTCGGAGCTGGTGAAGGGCAAGGTCAGTTGGTGTCGGGGTGCGGTGCCAGCGCGCCACCCGCCGGCCGCCAGACGAGACCAACGGTGCCTGTTGGGCTGACCTGATCGTTCTAACTGGGCCTGCCCTGGTGACCGTGACCAGGCGGCCGTGACCGGTCATGACTCGGTGACTGTGATGTGGTGGCCGTTACCGGGCATGATCCCGTGACCGTGACCTGGTGATTCCGACCCGGTGACCGTGATCCGATGGCCGTTGCCGGTCGTGACCCGATGACCGTTGCCGGTCGTGACCCGGTGGCCTTGACCGGCCGTGACCCGATGACCGTTGCCGGTCGTGACCTGGTGACCGTGACCGGTCGTGACCCGGTGCCCGCAGACCCCGGGAGACGCAACGCTGCTTCGCTTTCTGCGCGCGCGTGACTTCAACGTGGAGAAGGCGCGCGAGATGATCAGCACCAGCCTGGTGTGGCGCAAGAAGTACCAGGTGGACCGGCTGCTGCAGGAGTACCAGACGCCGTCCGTGGCGAGGGACTTCTTCCCGGGCGGCTGGCACCACTCGGACCGCGGTCAGTGGGCGCCGGCCGGCGACGGGGAGGGGTGGGCTGCGTCGGGGTAGCGCTGAGGAGGGAACGTCGCGGGCCGCGGTCAATGGGCGCCGGGCGGCGACGGGGAGCGATGGGGGCGTCCGGGTAGAACTGAGGAGGGTGCGTCACGGACCGCGGTCAGTGAGTGGACAAAGCTGACCGGTTGGGCTGGAGGAAAGGGGAGGGAGAGGCAGCCGGACAGCTGTAATGGTGGGGACGTGGCTGGGGGAAGTCGCCTTCCTCCTGTGATCGTCTCACGGTTGTTGTGTAGGTGTCGCCCTGCACTCAGTTGCGCCCCTTTGTGGATGTCAGATTGCCCTTCGCATTGAGCTCATGGGTGGGCGCCAAATGACTACCGCATTTGGCACGCCCGTAAACTCCAATCAACAACAACAAAACATTGAGCCCATGGGGCATGAGGCGTCTGATGCACGTTGATCTCGTCGGTGAACTGCGTCGACTGGCCGCCTTCCGTTCCCGTGTTTGATGCCGGATCCCTGTTGCGTAACCTGGCTCGTTCTGTCGACAGATGGCAGGCCTCTGTACATCCTGCGCATGGGCCAGATGGACGTGAAGGGTCTGATCAAGGCTGTGGGAGAGGAGGGCCTCCTCAAGCTGGTGAGTCCCTCCGTGTGGGAGGCTTTGGTGCTGCTGCCGGACATGTCAACCTGGCCAGGCATTGGCCTACACCCCACGCTGAAACACAGGCCGATGTGACCCGGCCTAGTGCGAGGTGCGAACGGCTCAGTACGGCATTGCCCAAGCCTTCATGCCTGATGGCGTATCCATGGCACGCCATCATTATGTTGCCTGTTCTTCGTTTTGTTCACGGCTGTTTCCGAAAGTCTGCGGCTGCTCTACCGGAGACGGCGCTTCACGTGAAGCCAAGGCGGCACGTCCGAGTCGCCGCTGTGTCGCCATACCGGACGCACTCTCCAGCCGTCCGCACGGCGGCCGCCGGCAGCGACTGACGGGGTCACCGGGTCGGCAGGTGCTGCACATCTGCGAGGAGGGCCTGCGCCTGGCCGAGGAGGCCACCATGCGCGAGGGACGCCCCATCCGCTCGTGGACGCTGCTGGCTGACCTAGATGGCCTGAACATGCGCCACCTCTGGCGGCCCGGCATCAAGGTGGGCGGCGGGGTGGGCCGGAGCGGATGGGCCGGTGGGCAGCAGAGCGGGCCGAAGCGAATGGGCTGGTGGGCCGAAACGCACGGAACGCGTGCCGTTCCGCACTGTTCCGGTCCGCAGCGGGCCGTACTGACTGAAGCTGGCGCTAGCATGTGTCGCGCTCGTTGCGTTCTGCGTGGGACGGCGCACTGCAGAATGGCATGTCCCGTCTGCGAGCCGGAGGAGGAGGTGTCTCGGTTGGTGCTGCTGTAGATGACAGCGCCTGCGAGCTGCGCCTGTGAGGCGCACAGTAGCGCTGGTACAGCGCACAGCCGGCTGATGCGAGTGTGGCTGTGGCTGTAGCGTCCCCTCGTCTCCCGCGCGTGTGGCAGGCGCTGCTCCGCATCATTGAGATCATGGAGGCCAACTACCCGGAGACGATGGGCCGCGTGCTGATCATCCGAGCGCCGCGCGTCTTCCCCATCCTCTGGACGCTCGTCTCCACCTTCATCGACGAGAAGACGCGCGAGAAGTTCCTCTTCTGCGACGACGACTACCAGCACGGCCTCAAGTTCTACATTCCCGAGGAGCACATACCGGAGTTTTTGGGCGGCATGGCACAGGTACTGGCCGACCGCCGAGGCTCTCACCCCCCTCCAGGGCTGCCCTTTCACACTTCAGCTGATGGTTGCCGGAGGGGCCTCTGGCGACACTTGCTGGGAGTGTTGCCTCACTTTGGCTGATGCGCCCTGTGCGTAACGTTATGAAGATGTGGTCAATGTTTTAGCATCTTCCATTAGGGCTTGGTGGTACCCTTATCTTCGCATATAAGTGACATGCAAAAGCGGCGCGGATGGAGGCGGGCAGGGATGTATACGCCACTTGCCCTTACCGTTTGCTATCTAAGCGCGTGCTCCGCCCGGTCTGCATTCGTTCCGGACGTGCGCTGGCGCCGGCCTGCAGGGGTGCCGCCGCTCATCCTCGCAGGGTAGCACAGCTGCCCCATGCTCTCACTGGTGGCGGTGTTGGTGACCTGGTCGACAGTGTGTCATCAGTGAGGGCGGCCTCATCCCCAAGACCATGTACATGCCGATCGAGGACATGGAGAACCAGAAGGGAGAGCTGTGCGGCGGCATGGACTCCATCTACCACTGCGTCAGCCTCACCCGCGGCCAGGTGAGACGCGCCGCTCCGCGAGCCGCGCCTGCGAGCAGCTGAGGCTGGCTGCTGTCCCGTCAGCCTGATCTGAGGTCAACTGCCAGGTCAATCGTTGACGCTGCGGTCTCGTCAAGGCTGATCCCTCGGTGTCACCGGTGAAAATTCAGTTGGCCAGTGGTCCCCCGGTCAGCCCCGTCCCGTCGCGAGCCGGCCGTGGCGGCGCGTGCTCGGCCCGTTTGACCCCGCCTGGCCGGCCGGCCCGCCTGACCCGCCGGTTCGCCGCTGCGTCAGGTGCATGAGGTGCTGATCCTGAACAGCGACCGCGGCTCGGTCATCTGCTGGGACTTCGACATCATGAAGTCGGATGTGGCGTTCTCGGTGCTCCGCACCAAGGTGCCCATCACCAACAAAGAGCTGGCTCAGCCGCACTCAGGTCAGTCCCCGGCCGGCCGTCAGCGGCGCGTCACCGTCGGCCGCACCTGTTGAACTCGGCTGCCCGCTGAATGACTCCAGTGATGACTCCGTCTGACGTCGAACGACTCCGCCGGGTTTCGGGTTCCGTGGCGTGAGGGCCGCAGCGGCGGTCGCCCTCAGATTGGCCAGGCCGGATGCTCGGGGCGGGGAGGAGTTCGATCATCCTCGTGGGAGATTGATCACCCGCGTGACAGCGAGACACGCTAATGACGTTGGCTGTCTATGTGCTGGTGACTGATTGTAAATTCATGCTCCTAACCAGCGGGCAGCGTCTGCGCAGGGATCTCCCGAGATCTGCGCTGGCGGCCTCCCGTTGCAGCAGCGCTACCCCTGTATGACGGCCTCCCGCTGCAGCAGCGCTGCCCCTGTATGGCGGCCTCCCGCTGCAGCAGCGCTACCCCTGTATGGAGGACTCCCGCTGCAGCAGCGCTGCCTCTGTATGGCGGACTCCCGCTGCAGCAGCGCTGCCTCTGTATGGCGGACTCCCGCTGCAGCAGCGCTACCTCTGTATGGCGGACTCCGCTGCAGCAGCGCTACCTCTGTATGGCGGGCTCTCGCTGCAGCAGCGCTACCTCTGTATGGCGGACTCCCGCTGCAACAGAGCGCCTCTGTATGGCGGACTCCCGCTGCAGCAGCGCTGCCTCTGTATGGCGGACTCCCGCTGCAGCAGCGCTACCCCTGTATGGCGGCCTCCCGCTGCAGCAGCGCTACCCCTGTATGGAGGACTCCCGCTGCAGCAGCGCTGCCTCTGTAGGGCGGACTCCCGCTGCAGCAGCGCTGCCTCTGTATGGCGGGCTCCCGCTGCAGCAGCGCTGCCTCTGTATGGCGGGCTCCCGCTGCAGCAGCGCTACCTCTGTATGGCGGACTCCCGCTGCAACAGAGCTACCCTTGCATAGCGGACTCCCGCTGCAGCAGCGCTGCCTCTGTATGGCGGACTCCCGCTGCAGCAGCGCTACCCCTGTATGGCGGCCTCCCGCTGCAGCAGCGCTACCCCTGTATGGAGGACTCCCGCTGCAGCAGCGCTGCCTCTGTATGGCGGACTCCCGCTGCAGCAGCGCTACCCTTGTATGGCGGACTCCCGCTGCAGCAGCGCTGCCTCTGTATGGCGGACTCCCGCTGCAGCAGCGCTACCCCTGTATAGCGGCCTCCCGCTGCAGCAGCGCTACCCTTGTATAGCGGACTCCCGCTGCAGCAACGCTGCCTCTGCATGGCGGACTCCCGCTGCAGCAGCGCTGCCTCTGTATGGCGGACTCCCGCGCAGCAGTCCTCTGATATGGCGTCCTCCCGCTTGACAGCAAGCGCTGCCTTCTGTATGGGTCCTTCCCGCCCTGCAGGCCAGCTGCTGCCTCTGTATTGCAGGCCTCCCGCTGCCAGCAGCGCTACCCCTGTATGGCGGACTCCCGCTGCAGCAGCGCTGTCCGGCTCCTGTGTGACGGACTCGTGCTCCCCCGGCAGGTGCGCTGCAGGTTCTGGAAACACTAAACCCGCTGGCGGAGGACGCCGAGCACCGCTCCGTGGTGGAGAAGAGCTGGAAGGAGGGCGTCGACTACTTCCGCGTCGAGCCGACGCTCATCTGTCATGACGGCGAGAGTGTGCAGGTCAGGGCCGACGCCCACGGAGTTAGAGCCGGTCCAACGACGAACGATCCGCTGACCCCTGTTCACCCAGCACTAGGTGAAGGAGCGCGGTGGAGTGGTGGACCGTGCAGGAACGGAGATAAGCCAGCAGAGCAGCCAAAGCGTGTTACCCGTGAGCAAAGTCGTCGCAGCACCAGCCAGCTCAGGTCGGGTGATGTGTGCCACGCCGAGCGGCGGCACGTGTTGGCGGATCCGAGCACGCGCCGCCCCCTCACGTGCCGCCCGTTGACAGGGCACGCACGTGACGGCGCACCTGGGCACGTACGTGCTGCAGTGGCGCTACCAGGAGTCGGCCGGCGGCCACCACGGCACGCCGCGCGAGCTGATCGACACCATCACGGCGCATAAGGCGCGCGTCATGTACTTCTACGAGACGCTGCGGTCGGCAGACTACAAGTAAGCGCTGGAGGGGAGGGGGTGGGGGGTGGGGGAGAGGCCTGGGCAGGGTGGGATCGCCACTCGGCGTTGTCTTCACAAGACGAGACAAGCGGGAGGGGTTTTGATCATCTTTAAGAGGTTGCTGAGTCAGTTCTTTAGCACTTGTACGTTGTCCTCGTTCTGTTGATGTCGGAAATATGACTCAATGCGTTTAGTTATCGAATATCTATATTACGACGCAACTTATATTGTAGGGGTCATTACGACACCTCCGGTGAATGCGTGAAAAGCACAACATTGTTCATAGCATCGCAATTGTTCAGCCCATCGCACCGATCACATTGATTCATTAGACTGCGTCCGCATGAACCGAAATGTAGATATTATATGGCTCAAGCGCTCAGTAATTTTTACGATCAAAACAGAACGCTAAGCCCCTTGAACTATGCTCAGAAGGCTTCAAGACTTCATAGAACTGGATCATGACCGGGGGAGAGTTTGGTCGCGTGGCTTTAAGTCTGAGCGCGACGAAGGTGCAGCTCGACAGCCGTATGAGAGTTGTCAAAAGGTGACCACGACTGACTCAGACCGCACTGTTTGTGTAGCCCTCGGGCTCGGGCTCGCCGCGTCCGCCTGCCATCCTGCTCTGACCCGCCGCATTGCCTGACGGTACCAGGCGCGACGCGCATGCGCCGTTTGGCAGCGTATGCCGCCGTGATGTCTGCTGTCTTACTGCTGTCGCGCCCCGGCCGCGCCCGGGCCGCGCTCAGCCGCGCTCGACGTCTGACTTGGCGCCCGCCGCCAGGGGCTCCATGACTTCGCTCAACTCCGGCACGTCGGGCTTCTCGTCGCTGTCGTCGCACTCGCACCAGGTGCCGTCGACGGTGGCGTCGTCGCGCACCAGCAGATGACGGCGTTAGCCTGCCGAGCCGGTCAGTGACGGTGTCACGCTCGGGACGGCGGCGCCGAGCCGGTCAGTGGCGGCGTCACGCTCGGGACGGCGGCGCGTGGGCTAGGGGTGGCTGCTGCCGTGGGTGTCAGCGGCTGTCAGTCGGCGCTGGTGTCGCTGTCTGTGTGTTTGTCAACACTGTGCGCTGGCAGTGCAGCCCCGCGTGCTGCCGGGCCTCCGTTGACGGCCTGTGTTCCGCGCAGGTGGGCTGGCCGGAGCGGCGCGGCTGGACGTGGTCTGGGCGCCGGCCGGGCCCGCGCGTCCCGGCGCAGGGCTCCAGACAGCCGGGCCCGCGTGGGCCGGCGCAGGGCTCCAGACAGCCGGGGCCTGCCGTCCCCGGACGCTGTCTCGAAGGCGTCCGCGATCGCTCGCCGGCTCCGACGGCGTGCGGGACTCGGCTCGCTCATTTGTCGGCCGTTGGGTCGGTGTGACCGTAGGACACTGTCTCACCTGCGACGATTACCCATGCTCGTTGGATGTGTTAAATTCACTTTATGATATATGTTGTAAAAGGATAAGTTAAGTTACATACAGTATACAGTGTCGCTGTGTCCCAGATGCGGTAGCGCTGCAATGGTACTTACTGCATGGTGGCTCGATAGTGTTGGTGGTCTACGGGATGCTCCGTAGTAGTTTCAATGTGGTCGTACAAACCGCACCCGTTCGGTAATAATGTGGTCACTCCTAACCCCTAGCGATGGGTGCTTGATTTACATAGCAGTCGATTTCTCTGACACTGTGACCAGGGGCCCGCTTGTTGATGCACTTGAGAAGAACACTTTCAATCAGCTACATCGACTAGCTAGTCGTCGTTGACCAGTGTATGCCAGCACCTGGCGGCGTTGTTAGAAGTACAACTTGTGCGCGCGTTCGTAGCAGGGCGCCACCTGCATCAGGCGTACTTGGCGCCAGTGCCGGACGGACGGTATTGTTCGCAGTTGTGTGCGGAGACTGAGACAACAAATAACGTGCGTACATATGTGACACAGTGATTTATCTGGCCGTTGAGTGGCAGACGCCCGCTCCTGGATCTCCAGGAGCCGCGCGGAGGCTGTCTTGGGGCCGGTTGGCCGGTTGTGCTGTGTTTGTAGGGCTCCTGTGACGGGCGTTGCCATCTGTGGCCCGCTGGAGCAGTGTCGGCGGATGTGGCCGCTGACCGTGGGGCGGGCCTGAGGCGGGCTCTGACGCCCCGCGGCCCGTGCGCTCCGCTCATTCACAGCGCGTGCCCGGGCCACGGGACGGTGTATGTATCAAGGGCTTCCTCCCGAACCCCGGGCTGTGCCGAGACTGCTGCGGTGGTCTGGGCATGCGCCGGCCAACAAAACGCTAATAAACGCCCTAATGGAACACGCTGGTGTGCGGGCGACGACGACTGCGAGGGTGATTGGTGCCGTCTGGCGGCGCGAACCTGGTCCGTTCATGGCGAGTGTGGGATGGCAGGGCGGCGCGAATCTGGTCGGTTCATGGCGAGTGTGGGATGGCAGGGCGGCGCGAACCTGGTCGGTTCATGGCGAGTGTGGGATGGCAGGGCGGTGCGAACCTGGTCCGCTCATGGCGAGTGTGGGATGGCAGGGCGGCGCGAACCTGGTCCGTTCATAGCGAGGGTGGGTTAGTGGGGCGGTGTCGCAGACGGGACCGTTCGAGGTGAGGGTGGGGTAGTAAGGCGGTGTCACAGACGGGTCCGTTTGATGCGGGCGAGGGGTGGTGGGCGGAGTCACAGACAGGGGAGCTGTGTCGTTCTCGATGCGCATCTATCTCGACCGTCAGCACCAACAGAGCAGGCTTCCTCGTCTGCCAGCTCGCTAGACCAGATCGGGGCATGCAGTTTGCTCGTTGTACTCTTCTGATATCACGAAGGGTAATGAAAGTGCTCGCAAGAGTCGAAGCACAAAGATGCCGGCGTCTCACCACGCGTAGCACCCCACGCGACCCGGTACTATTCGGGTGCCGATAGTATAGTGGTTAGCTCGTCTGCGTTGGCTACTGCGCGTCTGGGAAACCAGAGGTACGGGGTTCGATTCCCTGCGGTGCCCGCCCTTCCTGCCAGGGTGAGAGGCAGGCGACGCCATATAGCCTCAGCGGCTGAGTGCGTCGTAAATCACACACGCCCGGTACTATTCAGAGTGCATAGAACGCTAGTCCATGCAGTGTCTATCATGAGTCACACTCAAGACATCGCAAGGCTCTTCCAAGGCGGGGGCCCCAATTGTCTGTCACCAGTGGGAGACAAGTCGGATGGTAACACGATCCTTATGCCTGGCAGCATTCTTCTGTTGCGTAGTACAAACTGGGTCGACGCGTTCATATCACTGGAAACTTGAGTTTTCTTAAGATTTACGTACAAAGTGTGGGCGGTGTGGCTGTTTATTTTCTTAGCGTACTTCCACAACAAAATACCATAACGACACGTGCTGGTGCCGGTGTACGGGCGAGTCCGCGCGTTGACTGCGTAGAGTGAATGCCCATTGCGATCTTGATAGAAACTGGACATGTTTGAGCAGTCACGAGCATCCGCCCGTTTGCAATGCAGAGCGTCGGTACAGTCACGTTTTGGTTACTGTAAATTTCAATTGATACCGTAAAGATGGTCGTGGCGACACCACATGTGCCACTGTCCGCTGCCGGCGAGTCGCCAGTCAAAGCGGACAGCAGCGTGCGGTAGCGGACTCCACCGGTGGCGAAGTTAAAGACCGGAACGTACGCCACATCGGCATCCTCAAACCCGATACAGTGCTTACCGAGAGGAAGCAACAGGTGTGGGGCGCGCAGAACGAGGGGGAGCAGTTACAATGCCTCCTGTGAACGAGCGGAAGATGAGAAGGGGTCATCTGAAATGTGCGGACCCACCGAGGATATGTACAATACAAAGTGTACAATACAAAGTGATATGTACAATATGTACAATACAAAGTGCTCGGAGCAAACGGAACTGCGGAGTAGTCGGCCTCAGAGATCCGCTGAAAGTCGGGGGAAGACCCTCAGTAGTCAGCATATGTTTTGATGTTTGTTCTGTAGTGGGCTGCATTCATTGACCCTGACAAGATCATGACCTCTACAACTTGACCCGTAACCCAACTTGGGCTTTAACTTCAAACAATCGATGCATTCGCATGAGCCCATGGACCAAGTTTCCAGGAATTCTGTGACATGAGTTACAGTTGGCGTCTAGCTGTACATTTTGTGCTGGGGTGATCCCAAAAGCTGTGCTTTCAAGACTTAAAATGCAAGTATAATGAAATATTATTCATGCAGGCTTTGTTCATTTCACAAGGTTGTGTACTAGACAATTTTGCTGAAAAGGTGCTCTGCACGCACACCAACTGTCCATACTGTGCGTTTCCGCGTCTCTCCCATCGTAAGCACCATTTTACGTCAAACTCTCGCCCACATCAATAGCGTCGATAGAGAGAGGCCTTCAGGGGCTCAAAGATGCCCGTGAAGTTAGCTCTTTATTCAGCAATTTATTCAGTGACGAGTTCCAATTTCTCCGAAAAAATATCTAAAGATCAATTGTGGCATGAAAATACCAAAAATGACGCTTATCTTGCAATACCATGCCACCTTCAAGGTCAAAAGCTGGGTCAAAGGACGGGGAACTCGATATCATCTAAAAACTACCGACCGATTTTTACCTTGCAAATGTCAGAATACTCATCACAGAAAGAACTAGCGTCTGTCAGGAAGTCCTGTCATCTCAAGGTCACCCTTCAAGGTTAAACGCGGGCTCAAAGAACGGGGAACTCGATATCAGCTAAAAAATACCGGCCGATTTGAAAGCTCTAAGCATCAAAATATTCGCAAGTGCAAGAGCTAGCGTCCGTCAAGCAGTCCTGACATCTCAAGGTCATCCTTCAAGTTCAAACGCGGTCTTAACACACGCTCGGGTGGAAGGTGAAATTGGCCCCCCAAAGCTTTTTCCAGAATAATTTCCCGAACGGCGCGGCGAAGCCGCGCCAAATTTTGCATAGATGTAGACAATTGAGTAGCACATCATTTGGCATAAAAAAATGCAGATGTACCATGTAAGGTCCCTGATCTATGGCAGGTCAAATTCACGCCATGGTTTCAGCGAAGGCAATTTCTAGGGAATCCTTCAATCTGATCCAACAACGGGTTGCTAGACGAAGCCATACATCTCTGAGATGCTTTCTTAGGCAACACAACAGTTTAGTGAGCAAATTAAATTGACCTAAGGTCATGTATGAAGGTCACACCAAGGTCAACACCAATCTGCTTTGTTATTCTAGGGCTTGCTGAATGGGATAATTTCTGGTGCTCATTTTAAATTTATTGATGGCAGGAACCGCATTATACATCTTCCATGGACTTTTCAGCGGTCCGAATAGGTCATTGACCTGAAATGACCCAGGTCAACATGTTGTGTTAGGAACATACTGCCTAGCGCAATCTTTGTCGCTTAGTCAAATGCAAAACTCAAAGCAATCTAGTATCATTTTGGTCACCTTGACCTTCAAAAGGTCAAACAAGGCCACTGACCTTGAATGAGCATGTGACGTTTTGCTTAGAAACGGTTATCTAGGTTCTGGAGCACTTTGGACACCAACCTGAAACTTAAACTTGTTTTACCTTTTTTGACCCGAAGGCCATGACCTAGAAATCTGAACTTTGATCTAAGTGAGTTCACGCACAGGTCAGCACACCCTGTAAATTTGGTGTCTCTAGCTTCCTTAGCTCGCGAGGTCTCAGGGGTCAAATTGACCCCCTCCCCCTGCCCCCACCCGAGCAAAGGTTATCTAGCGGGCTACCCGGGCGCGTGTTAAAGGACGGGGAACTCGATATCACTCAAAAATTACCGGCTGATTTTCAACCTGTGAATGTCAGAAAATTCACCCCAGAAAGAACTGGCGTACGTCAATAGGTCCTGACCTTTCAAGGTCACTCTCAAGGTAAAACACAGGCTGAAAGGACGGGGAACTCGATATCACCCTAAAATTGACAACCGTTTTTCAACCTACAAACATCAGAACATTTACCACAGAAAGAACTAGCTTCCGTCAAAAAGTCAGGTCCAACAGGGGCTGAAAGGATAGGGAATTCCGTATCATCCAAAAATTACCTCCCGATTTTCGCCTTACCAATGTCAGAATATTCACCACAGAAAGAAATAGCATCCGTCAGAATCAATATCACCCCAAAATTATCAGTTCATTTTCAACTTAAAAGCATTAGAATATTCACCACAGAAAAAACTAGCTTCTGTCAAAAATTTCTGACCTCTCAAGGTCACTCTTTGAAGTCATTACTCTAATATTCCCTCAAGATCAATATTAGAAGGTGAATATTCTGATATTTGCTAGTTTAAATCGGCCGGTGATTTTTGGGTGACATGGAGTTCCCCGTCCTTTGAGCCCACCTTTGACTTTGAAAAATAGCCATAAGAAGAAGACCTTGAGAGGGCAGGACTTTTCACAGACGGTAGTTATTTATGTGGGGAGTATTCTGACAGTGACAGGTTTAAAATCGGCTGGTAATTTTTGGGTGATATAGAGCTCCCTGTCTCCTGAGCCCAGCGTTCCAAAATTCATCCAGTAAGGTGTGCAGGATATAAATATAAACTAATGTTTCCAGAATGTTGCTCTCCGGCGGCGGCCCCACACGCGATTCGTTCACGCTAATTCGTTGCCCTTTTACCCCGACCCAGCCATCTGACCTATTCAGTCCATTTGTCGAGCCTGAGGCGCATAGATGCTGGTTTAACAGCCGTGCGGTTCGATGCTGATTGGCTGGCTGAAGGGGAGGGGCGATCGGCAGTGAGCCACAAGCCGGGGTGCAGTAGCATGAAGAATATCGACATCCATGCCACCCAAGTGACCGAATATTGGAACACTGCTTGAGCCCGCGTTTGACCTTGAAGGATGACTTTGAGAGGTCAGGACTTTTTGACGAACGTTAGTTTTATCTGTGGTGAATGTTCCGATATTTACAAGTTGAAAGTCGGCCCGTAATTTTTTAGAGATACGTAGTTCGCTTCCCTTGGCGTCCGCGTTTAGCTTTGAAGAATGACCTTGGGAGATCAGGACTTTCTCACAGACGCTAGTTCTTTCTATGGCGAATATTCTTACAGTCGCAAGTTTAAAACCGGCCGGTAATTTTCGGGTAATTTTAAAATTCCCGTTCTTTGAGCTCATGTTTGACCTTAAAGACTGACATTGAGAGGTCAAAATTTTTTCACGGGCGCTGGTTGTTTTGTGGGGAAGATTCTGACATTCGCAAGTTTAAAATCGGGCGAAAATTGTTTTGTGGTATGGGGTTCCCCGTCCTTTGCGTCCGCGTTTGGCCTTGAACGACAACTTTGAGAGGCCAAAACTTTTGACGGGCGTTAGTTT